CCCTCCCCCCCATGCACCAGGAAGAGCCTGGAGCAGCCCCAGCCTGCAGCTGCAGCCCCCCCGCCCTCAGATCCAGGGGCACATGCCCCCCCCATGCCCTCACAGGGTGTGTGCAGCAGCAGGAGACCCCCGGACGATCCCCCACCCCCCACCACTCTGGATGAGCCGTGGCTCCGGCCCATGTCCTGCCCTGCCCTGGCTGGGCAGTGCTACCCCAGCCCCTGCCCCACTCCCTCACCACAGGGACCTTGGGGGGTGGTGTGTGTGTGTGTGTGTGTGTGTGTGTGTGTGTGTGTTTGTGTGCGTGCCTTCCCTCTCCTTCCACCACAACAGACTTACCAGCTGCACACACCTCTCCAAGCTGTCAGTCTGCTCTCCTCACTGCCTGCGTGCTGTGCTGAGGCTGCGTGCATGCATGGCTCATTTATCGACCAAATTATCAGCCACATTAGGCCGATTTCCGATGCAATCAATTTTCTTTATATTGGTGCTGATCTGATATCGGAGTGATATATAGGTGCACCTCTACTGAGCAGGCCACACATGGTATATCCATAATTTTTAGATTTGATAACCTAAACTGATTACATGGTGGCTTCCCCTCTGGCGCACAGCTTGCCAGTTAATCAAGGTGAGATTCAGTCCCTCTCCTGCAAACTTGTTACGTATCAATGCTTTCATGTACTTTTGCAAGCTGCTGCTCTTACCTTATTATACTGGAAAGATAGAAAAGATCTCTAATCCATTAAGGCAGGTGTCTTATTGGGATGCCTCAGTATCGGTGCCTGTCTTATAAATGCCTGGATGGAACAACAGATCAGAATAGTGAAAGCTGAGCTAATTTACAGATTCATAGATGTTACGGTCAGAAAGGACCTCAGTAGATCATCAAGCCTGACGCCTGCCTAGGCAGCAAAGAGCGCTGAGGTCAGATGGGAAGTTTCAAGATGCATCAAAAAAGAGAGAACTGTGGAAGCATTCAACACGCTAAGGGAAAGTGTAAAGGGGTGTGGAGGTGGGGGTGAGAGTCAGCCAACATATTCCCACTCAGAACAAACTTCCCACTGGTACAGTTGGTTGGTAATATCTTAAGGCATGCTTTTGTATGTGGTACCTGGAAAGCTTAGGCTATCTACACTGCTCCAAGCAGGATGATTCCAGGGGCAGTAGGCATGCCTGCACCAAGTTTAATCTGGCCAGCTTGGATACTAACAGCAATGAAACTTTGGCAGCACAGGCACCTGTGCAGCCTGTCTCCCTGGGTCCCCACACCCTTGTACAGCCCACGCTAAAGTCCGTGCTGCTGTGGCTGCTCTGCTGTTGGAACCTGACCGGGTAAAGCTACTGCATGTTATTCCTCTGTGTGCTGCAATTACGCGCCCCGTTGCAGCACAGACTTACCTAAGAACCACATGCCAGTAAATGGTGAATGACCCTGGAGTAGGAGATGGGCTGGCTGTAACATAACATCTCTCTATGATCTTTGGAGCCTGGGATCTTTTCTCTTCTTGGTTACATTCAACTCACCCTCGAGTTCTCCAGTAGCTGGTGCAGTGTTTTAGTTCTCCTGCTGGCAATGTGCACCCCAAATATTGCAAATATTCCTAGACCAGAAGAGCCTGAGCCTGCACCCTGGCTGTCAAAGAGAGTTTTGCCCGTTTCTTCAATGGGAACAGGATCAGGCCTGTAATCTTATCACAGGTTTGAGCAAAGCAAATGTGCCTATTCTAGTGGAAATCCTCTGTGAGGGGCCACATCTGAAAAGCAGTTAGGACTAAGGAGTCCATGCTTCTCTCGTTTTCCTGAGATAAAATCTGCTTCTCCAACTTGCTTCATATTTTGCCAAAAGAAAATCTGAGCCACAGACCTCAGGAAGACTTGGAGGAATGTAGGGAGTGTAGGTTAAAGTCAGGTTACCCAAGAAAGCATCTTTTTGTTGAATCTTAACCAGGGAAAGGCTACCGTGTGGCCATAATGTATGTAGCTATTCAGGATGCTCCTAATTCTTATGATTTCATGCTCTTTGCTGGTCCTTAGAAGTGAAGGGCATATGGGTAAGAAATACAGAATTTAGTTGCTATAAACAGAGATGAGTCTGTAGATTAACAGCTTGCAACCAGTCTGAGTTTCCAGCAGGCCAGCTGGATGGTGAGTTTTGTTCTCCAGCCATCTTGTGTCAACTGACATGGTTTTAGTTTTGCATAATCTCAAGTCAGCTTCATGTCCCCATAATGTGGGGCAGTTTGTTTCAGCTCCAGTTTACCCCCAAGTGCACAGCAGCAGGTTTTGTTACTGCTTAGTGTAAATGAAGATCAAATGCTGCCGATAGTGCACTTCCTGATGTAGGCTGAGAGGAGTTCGTGATTTATATCCTCATTTGCTGGAAACACTGGATTCTGTTCCTGTAGTTAAATAGGTCCCCCAGCCCCTTGGCTGAGAAATTAGTCTCTGTATCTCCATCTCCTTGGCATCTAAGTCCCACCATCACTGATATGGTAAAACTGCCCCAGTCCTTATATTCCTTGCCCTGATCTCAGTCTACTCCAGTCCATCTTCGGGTTCTGTGCCTTGATCTCTGGTTGATTGTTTCGTTTCTTTGGCTAACTTCTGCTTGCGCAGCACACAGCACGTTAAATACAACAGAAGCCAGCCTATGACCTGAATTATTGGGAAACCAGAAAGTTGCATGACTGATCCAGCCTTTTCTTGTCCACAGGGTGCTACTTCCAGCAGAAAATAACTGAATATCAAGAACAAAAGAAACGGAGAAATTCCTGAACTACTGCTCTTAAAGAGAGGAGCCTGGCTGGGCAGATTGCTGCCTGTAGCTGTACTCTATTTGGACTGAGCAAACAGCTCTTTCAAAGGCAGAAAGGCTTGTGGACTTTGCTGGCTGTGGGCATCTCTACCCTCCTCCACCTATCTGTGAATAATGAGAAGCCTAGTCAGCACAGAAGCCCGATTCCTCCTCTGTCTCTTCTTTTTCAGGGCATGATTGCATTAGAAGGTTCTTTTCTATGCAGCTAACAAACAGGCCTGGGGTTGCTTTTGCAGTCCAACTAACCTGCAACATTTGAACAAGTAGCAACCCAGGTCCTGTAACAAGTGCCTATTGCTGTCTATGCTGAAGAGAAGCATGGACTTTATGTGAAAGCTGAGTGAAATCGAGGTGAGACTGGGCTTTCGCTGAAATGCCCAAGGATGTAGAATAATTGCTGCAATAGAATGTACTGATAGAAAATATTTTAATTAAAACAATTTTTTTCAGCCGAGTGGTGTCCTGCAGAGTATGTATTTCAGAAGGCCTGCTGCTATTTCTGAAGTGGTTGTGCTTGTGTTTTTATGGACACATTTCTTTTTTTAGAACCTGAAAGAGCTACAAGTAGCTCACCTGGTTTTGGTGCAGTTTTGTTTCAGTCACCTTTGCTTGGGTATCCAAAACAGCATCCTAAAGCAGACTGAGGGAGTAGAACAGGGATTTAAAATGGATAGGCTTTTTTGCACTAGGGTCCAGTTCCAGATGCTGTGGGGGACATGTGCTGCAGCAAAGGAGATAAGAAATTTTGCAGTTGGAGTTTGGAGGAAGTGGTCAGATCTAGCAGTGTCTGTTTCTGAACAGCTCTATGGGGTTTTTTTGTGCTTGTTTTGGAAGATGAGTTTTAAAAGCCTTCATAGTTAACATACGTGCATCCCACGAAAGGTGATGTTTGCAACAGATTTACAGGCAGGTGCTGGCCTTCTCTATGCCCTAGTAGTGCATTCTTCTAGAGTACATAGTCTGAATGTGAGATGGAGTGAGCAGTAACCACTACCTGTTGGCCCCAAATGGAGGGCACAACAGGATGTGATCAGGTATTCAGTCCTGTGAGAGCAGCAGCAGTTGTGCTGGAAGAGCAGGCTGCGCTGTTTTGAAAAGTTGCTGAAAGCTTACACACTGATGCATGAAGTCATTGCTACATTTACATTCTAGAGATGTCCAACATTGCTGAAGCTACGATTTGTTATTACTAGGTAGCACCTAGTAGTCCCATCACGGACCAGGACACCAATGCAAAAGAAAATGCCCATCCCTGCCCCAGAAATGTAAATGTAAGTGATTTGGCCTGTGAACACTGCTGGGGGTAAGAACATAAGGACTGGAAGGAAACTATTCCATTCTTAAGTCCAGTCCCCTGTTATCGTTGGCACTGTAATATTATTGAGTTTCGTCTTAAAATCATTTGAGCTTTCTTGCACTTCCTACTCCCATAGGAAATTTGTGCCAGAAGCTGAATCCTTGGTAACTTTTCTCTGATTTCTAGTCTAAATGCCCTTTTGCCTAATTCCCATTCAGTTGGACGTAGAAGAAATTTATCCTGGATCTATGTAAGTTGTAAATCCTAGATACAAATTACAGGTGAAGGGCAGCATGTTATAAGTGTGTAAACCTATAACCAAAAAAAATAAAGCTTTCTAACAGACTTCACACCCGCAGATTTCAATTTTGAGAAAATTCAGTGGAAAAATACATTTTTGTTAGAGATGTATTCAGTAGCCATGTTGGCCTGAGACAAAAAATGCAAAACTCCAGAACTCTTGTTTCAGAGATGATACCTTTTATTAGACCAACTAAGATATTGCAAAAAAAAAAAAAAAAAATGTATCTTTTTCTGCAAGCTTATGGGCAGACATGCCTGTCCTCAGGCACA